TGCCACAAGCCTCAAAATCTGCCTCTCCTTTTCTTACACTTCAGAGGCCCCTGCAATCAAACCTATGCTTAAGAGTTCATGAGGAGCCCAGAAATAAAAATGAAAAACCTGGGCAGAAAAGAATAACCTCCTCGCAACGTATGTAGGCAGAGACAGAAAAAAAAAAAAAACATACTGAGGAAATGAGGTTGGGGTGGAGATTTTGATCTTCACTGTCTTCCCTGTCCTGATCAAATAGGCGGAGCAGTCTCTCGCTTGTAGTGTGGAAAGGGGGAAAAAAAAAAAAAAATTTTTTGGTTAGTTTAGGAAAAAAAAAAGTAACCGCAATGAGGGGAATTTACGAAGACTGGGGGAGACCGAATCTGGAGCAGCTGTACATGTCAACCAATCAGTTGAAGCTAGTTTTAGCTTGTTTAGTCAAAGTGGTTGTAAAGGCTCAAGGTTTTTTACCTTCATGCATTCTATACATGAAGGTAAAAAACCCTCTCTGTGCAGCAGCCCCCCCCCCCCCCCCCCCATACTCACCTAAGCCCCACTGGACACACGGAGCAGAGGGTGACCCCATAGCAAGCTGCTTGCTATGAGTGCACCAGACAGGAGGGAGGGGCCAGGAGAGCCTGCGAGGGACACGAGAGGAGGAGGATCCGGCCTGCCCTGTGCAAAACCACTGCACAGAGCAGGCAAGTATGACATGTTTGTTATTTTTAGAAACAAATGTAAGCCTTTAGTATCGCTTTAAACTTTTAAAAAAAAGATAGAAGCTGACTGGTTGTCATGCGCAACAGCTTCAGATTTTGTCCCAGTTTGAATGTTTCTCTCTGTCTGCCTCAGTTTTACTGAATTCTCCCCAATGTTTGGTTCTAAAGCCAATGCAAAATAAGTTCAGCATGGGAAAGTGCAGTTATTAACCATAGTAACAAGATTCTACTATTTATATATGTGGAGCCTTTTGTAAAGAAAATTCATTATACAAAAAAATAAATATAAAATTATGGTTTTATTAATCCTGTCATGGCAAGACTGTATTAGCACTTGACCAGACCAAGTTTAGCGTAAGCATACTTCAGTTAACATGCCCATAGCTGTATGACTTTTTTTCTCTGCTTGATAGCAGGTCTGAGAACTAGGATTGCACACAGTTGTGTGTAAATTTACATTCACCCAACAAGGAACATTTTATGTTTCAACTGAAAAAGATATATATCATCGTCACAAAGAGGTAAGCAACAGATATTATCCTACCTCCAAATCTGTGAATAGGTCTTTGCTATTCTGTAATATGGCGTACATACAATGCGACACGGTTACAGCATGTTTCCAGTTATGATAAGGTACTCGCCGATAGTTCTTCTTCACTGACATAGTGAAACGGCACAATTTTTCTAGCTCAAAACTTGAAAGTAAGAAGAAAACAGGAAAACAGGTTAGAGAATGATAGTATATGACAAAGTCATCAATTCACACTATGTGAATGAAAGGTGAGAGATAATCCAAAGTTTTACACTACAATTCAACAACTTTCAGACAACCTCAAGAAACGTTTAGAATTTTCACTGTTATAGTGGTATCACTTCCGAGATTCCTTTTTTTTTTTTAAGATGTCTTCAAAGTGTGAGATGCCTTACAAACTCAGCTTACATACACACACATGAATAGGCCAGTCAGTCCTTCTAATATAAAATTGCTACACTTCTGGGGACCAAAATCTATGATAACAGCTAAGTCAGATAAGGAATTCTGCAGCTAAGTATTACCACTACTGAATAGTCCAATTGAAACACATATCATTAGGACATTTTGGTCTTAACAATTTACAACCTAATTACTTTAAGTACCATGCAGATCAACTCACCCTCCACAGCAATAGCAGGGTTGCTGATAGGAGGTAGTACACAGCTACACTTCTCCCATAGTCAATAGTAACAGTAGCACAACAGTCAATACTCTGGTAATGTTCACTTGACTAATCTATATGTTCCACTTAAGCTAGATGAAAACAATAAGCAGGTTTAGGTGTTTAAGCAAACCTGCTGGTAATCACATTAAGATTTTTAACAGAAAAACAGTACTACTGGCAGGTACATTTTTTCTATGTACTGGATAAATTCTTATCCTCAGCCTGCTCCCTTTTGAAGCATTTGGTCAATGTAATCCCTTATCAGTGTCTTATATAAGAAAACCGTACGTGTGAAAGTAAAATATAACGTTTTGAGTTAGTAGCTGAATATTAGTACCACACTGGATCCACTACCCAGAAATAGCTAAAGTCTGATATAAAAGAAAACCAAATACTAATTACCAAGAACAACTACAGTGCATCCAGAAAGTATTCACAGCACTTAGCTTTTGCCACATTTTGTTATGTTACTGCCTTATTTCAAAATGGATTAAAAAATTAAGTTCAAAATGGATTAAATTAATTTTTCCCTCAACATTCTGCAAATAATACCCCATAATGACAACATGAAAGAAGTTTGTTTTGAAATCTTTGCAATTTCTCAAAAATAAAAAATGAAAAAAAAAAAAAAAACATATGTACATAAGTATTCACAGCCTTTGCTCAATACTTTGTGGAGCACCTTTAGCACCAATTACAGTCAAGTCATTTTCAGTTTGATGCTACAAGCCTGGCACACCTATTTTCGGGCAATGTCTCCCATTATTCTTTGCAGTACCGCTCAACCTCCATCAGGTTGAATGGGGAGCGTCGGTGCACAGCCATTTTCAGATCTCTCCAGAGATGTTCAATTGGGTTCAAGTCTGGGCCACTCCAGGACATTCACAGAGTTGGCCCATAGCCACCCCTTTGTTAAATGGGCTGTGTGCTTAGGGTCATTGTCCTGTTGAAAGATGAACCATCCAGAGCACTCTGGAACAGGTTTTCACCAAGGATGTCTCTGTACATTGCTGCATTCATCTTTCCTTCGATCCTGACAAGTCTCCCAGTTCCTGTCACTGAAAAACATCCCCACAGCTTGATGCTGCCACCACCATTCTTCATTGTAGGGATGGTATTGGCCAGGTGGTGAGCGATGCCTGGTTTCCTCCAGACATGACACTTGGCATTCAGGCCAAAGAGTTCAATCTTTGTTTCATCAAACCAGATAGTTTTGTTTCTCATTGTCTGAGTCCCTCTGGTGCCTTTTGGCAAACTCCAGGCGGGGTGCCATTTGCCTTTTACTGAAGAGTGGCTTCCCTCTGGCCATTCTACCATACAGGCCTGATTGATGCAGTGCTAAAGAGATGGTTGTTCTTCTGGAAGGTTCTCCTCTCTCCACAGAGAAACGCTGGAGCTCTTTCAGAGGGACTATCGGGTGCTTGGTTACCTCCCTGGCTAAGGCCCTTCTCCCTCAATCGCTCATTTTGGCCGGGCGGCCCGCTCTAGGAAGATTCCTGGTGGTTCCAAACTTCTTCCATTTACGGATGATGGATGCCACTGTGCTCATTGGGACCGTCAATGGCGCAGAAATTTATCTGTACCCTTCCCCAGATCTGTGCCTTGATATAATCCTGTCTCGGAGGTCTACTGACAATTCCTTGGACTTCATGTCTTGGTTTGTGCTCTGATATGCACTGTTAACTGTGGGACCTTATACAGTATAGATGGGTTTATGCCTTTCCTAATCATCTCCAATCAACTGAATTTCATTGGGAACAGGATGATCATTGGGAACAGGATGCACCAGAGCTCAATTTTGAGTGTCATGGCAAAGGCTGTGAATACTTATGTACATGTGTTTTTTTGTTTTTTTTTAATAAATTGCAAAGAATTCAAAACAAACTTCTTTCATATTATCATTATGGGGTATTGTTGAATGTTGAGGAAAAATAAATAATTTAATCTATTTTGGAATAAGGCTGTAACATAACAAAATGTGGCAAAAGTTAAGCGCTGTGAATGCTTTCTGGATGCACTGTATACTTTGGTGCTAATCCTACACCTCCACATTTTTAATACATTTAAACGGATATTTGGAGTATGCATTATAAAAAAAAAAAATAAACCTTTGTCCCGACTAGGACTCATAACGCTAAGTTATTGAACATGACTATTGTGTAGAAAGTTTTATGTTGAAAGAAAAAATTTTAATGGGCACAGATGAAATAGTACATCCCCGTCTAAACCCTAAAATGAGCATGTATGAGCAAAAGATGTCCAGATGCATGTTAACTGCAGATATGTTCTTAATTGTAAGCAATACCATCATTCTGTCACTATTACGGGGGAAGGGGGCAAGCCACACTATGTGTGTCTATGGACGCACACAAACCAGCTCAGGAGCGTGCCCGCACGTGTGCCCCTATAGCACACTGCTTGCTATGGGGACACACGCAAGGAAGGAGAAGCAGATGGCTCCAGAGGGGGATCCTAGAAGTTTAGGTAGGAGAACGCTCTGTGCAATACCATTGCACAGAGCAGGTAAGTATAACATGTTTAATATTTTTAGATGAAACATATATTAAACTTTAGAACCCCTGTAAGTTTGAAAAAACACTATCATGTAATCTTTTAAATACAACTGGCTACAAGTCAGATTTTTAAGAAAGACCTGCCTTCTGGACTACTTTTTTCCCAGGGAAGGTGATCCCCCACCAGACAGATGCCTGCATCGGCCGGAGGAGATGGCCGGGGATATCGCGGGAATGAAGGACAAGGTAAGTACAAGAGGGATCCCAGAGCTGCAGGGTATTCCCGAGTGTAGCGCAGGGCTACAGCTTTTGGTACTGAAAGTTAACCCCGAGCTACACTCAGGAATAGCGCCAGGGAGGTTAAATAAAACTGGCTACAAGTCAGATTTTTAAGAAAGACCTGCCTTCTGGACTACCTTTTTCCCAGGGAAGGTGATTCCCCACAATATATACATAGACACACACACACACATATATACATACATATACACACACTATATTGTCTAAAGTATTGGGACATTCCTACAAAACATTTGATTCAGGTGTTCGAATCACCTCCATGGCCACAGGTATCAATCAAGCACCTAGGCATGCAGACTGCTTCTACAAACATTTGTGAAAGAATGGGTCACTCTCAGGAGCTCAGTGAATTCAAGCGTGGTACCATGAGAGCGGTCGTCACTTGTGCAATAAGTCCATCTGTGAAATTCCCTTGCTACTAAATAATTCACAGTCAATTGTTAGTGGTAATATAACAAAGTGGAAGCAACTAGGAACAAACAGCCATGAAGTAGTAGGCCACGTAAAATGACAGGGAGGGGTCAGTGCATGCTGAAGCGCACAGTGCGCAGAAGTCACCAACTGTCTGCAGAGTTAATAGCTAAAGACCTCCAAACTTCGTGTGGCCTTCAGATTAGCACAACAGTGTGTAGAGAGCTTCACGGAATATGTTTCCATGGCCGAGCAGCTGCATCCAAGCCTTACATCACCAAGTGTAATGCAAAGTGTTAGATGCAGTGGTGTAAAGCACAATGCCATTGGACTCTAGAGAAGTGGAGACGTGTTCTCTGGAGTGATGAATCACGCTTCTCTGTCTGGCAATCCGGTGGACCTGTCTGGGTTTGGTGGTTGCCAGGAGAATGGTACTTGCCTGACTGCATTGTACCAAGTGGGGGGGGGGGGGGGGGGGTTATGTTGTGGGGTAATTTTTAAGGGGTTGACCTTGACCCCTTAATTTCAGTGAAGGGAACTCTTAAGACGTCAGCATACCAAGACATTTTGTACAATTTCATGCTCCCAATTTTGTGGGAACAGTTTTGGGATAGCCCCTTCTTGGTTCAACATGACTGCGCACAAGTGCTCAAAGCAAGGTCCATAAAGACATGGTTGAGCGAGTTTGGGGTGGAGGAACATGACAGGCCTGTACACAGTCTTGACCTCAACCCAGTGGAACACCTTTGGGATGAATTGGAGCAGAGACTGCGAGCCAGGCCTTCTCGTCCAACATCAGTGCCTGACCGCACAAATTAGTTTCTAGAAGAATGGTCAAACATTCCCATAGACACACTCCTAAACCTTGTGGACAGCCTTCCTAGAAGAGCTTAAGCTGTTATAGCTGCAACGGGTGGGCCAACTCAGTATTGAACCCTACAGACTAAAACTGGCATGCCATTAAAGTTCATGGGTGTGTAAAGCAGGCATACCAATACTTTTGTCAATATAGTGTGTATAATGTATAAATATATACAGTCATGGCCGAAATTGTTGGCACCCTTGATATTTTTCCTGAAAATCAAGTATTTCACACAAAAAAGGTATTGCATTAACACATGTTTTGCTATACACATGTTTATTCCCTTTGTATGTATTGGAACAAATATAAAACAGAGGCAGAAAAGCAAATATGACATAATGTCACACAAAACCCCAAAAATGGGCTGGACAAAAGTATTGGCACCCTTAACTTAATATTTGGTTGCACACCCTTTGGAAAACATAACTGAAATCAGTCGCTTCCTATAACCATCAATAAGCTTCTGACACCTCTCACCCGGAATTTTGGACCACTCTTCCTTTGCAAACAGCTCCAGGTCTCTCTTATTGGAAGGACACCTTTTTCCCAACAGCAATTTTAAGATCTCTCCACAGGTGTTCAATGGGATTTAGATCTGGGCTCATTGCTGGCCACTTCAGAACTCTCCAGCGCTTCTTTGCCATCCATTTCTGAGTGCTTTTTGACGTATGTTTGGGGTCATTGTCCTGCTGGAAGACCCAGGATCTTGGACGCAAACCCAGCTTTCTGACACTGGGCCCTACAGTGCGACCCAAAATCCTTTGGTAATCCTCAGATTTCATGATGCCTTGCACACAGTCAAGGCACCCAGTGCCAGAGGCAGCAAAACAACCCCAAAACATCATTGAACCTCCACCATATTTTACCGTAGGTACTGTGTTTTGTTCTTTGTAGGCCTCATTCCGTTTTCGGTAAACAGTAGAATGATGTGCTTTACCGAAAAGCTCTATCTTGGTCTCATCTGTCCACAAGACGTTTTCCCAGAAGGCTTTTGGCTTACTCAAGTACATTTTGGCAAACTGTAGTCTTGCTTTTTTATGTCTCTGTGTCAGCAGTGGGGTCCTCCTGGGTCTCCTGCCATAGCGTTTCATTTCATTTTTAAATGTCGACGGATAGTTCGCGCTGACACTGATGCTCCCTGAGCCTGCAGGACAGCTTGAATGTCTTTGGAACATGTTTGGGGCTGCTTATCCACCATCCGGACTATTCTGCGTTGCAATCTTTCATCAATTTTCCTCATCCGTCCACGACCAGGGAGATTAGCTACAGTGCCATGGGTTGCAAACTTCTTGATAATGTTGCGCACTGTGGACAAAGGCAAATCTAGTTCTCTGGAGATGGACTTGTAACCTTGAGATTGTTGATATTTTGCCACAATTTTGGTTCTCAGGTCCTCAGACAGTTCTCGTCTCCTCTTTCTGTTGTCCATGCTTAGTGTGGCACAGACAGACACACAATGCAAAGGTTAAGTGAACGTCTCTCCTTTTTATCTGCTTTCAGGTGTGATTTCTATATTGCCCACACCTGTTACTTGCCCCAGGTGAGTTTACAGGAGCATCACATGCTTGTAACATTCTTATTTATCCGCAGTTGTGAAAGGGTGCCAATACTTTTGTCCAGCCCATTTTTGGAGGTTTGTGTGACATTATGTCGAATTTGCTTTCTTTCCTCCCTTTTTTTTTTGTTTTGTCCCAATACACACAAAGGGAATAAAACATGTGTATAGCAAAACATGTGTTAATGCAATACGTTTCGTGAGAAATACATGATTTCCTGGAGAAATATCAAGGGTGCCAACAATTTCGGCCATGACTGTATACATATTTATAATTGTAATTTGTACGGTCGTACACTTTAGACCTACTAAAAGTTAAAATGAAAGTTTGACTACCTTACCAATTTTTACCACAAGATTGATGCGTCATATACACAAAGATCGCTGGCCAAAGATCTTCAAAAGGCCCTATGTCAAAATGATAACTGGGGGAAAAAAAAAACAAAAAAAAAAACACATCACAGAATATACAGCCACATTTAAACAAGCTTGCCAAGTTTGTTTCATACATTTTTTTTTCATCTAATGTAAACAAAAAAGAAAAAAAAGAAGTATTATCAGATATAATACTGCTGTTATATAATGTGTGATAATTTAAAAACTTGCACAGTTGAAAAAGTAAAGCATAAAAAAATGCAGCTTACCAGTGCTAAATTTGTTGGCTGCATTAGTCCCCTTTTTTCAGGCTCCCTCCCCTTTCACCTTTTGATCCTTCCAGTAACATATGCCCTGTCCTGGATGGCCACATTTAATGTACTGTATCCATGGAGACGCAGCGTTGTCATTCTAGGCTTTTTTTTTCCCAATTTGGACCAGAGACACATCCCCCTCTCCTAATCACCATTAGTGGGGAGCCGTTTTGTACTTCACATAAGATAACGGAGAAAGCAGTTTTTTTTTAGAAAGCTGCTTTTTTGAGATTTAGGTTCCTACTGGTACAGCTGTAATCTGATTTTCAGTGCAAAAGTGCACTTTGACATGTTTTTCATGTTGCTCCATTTTTTGTAGGGGATGGAAACTGCTCAATTCACACAGCATTGGTTATCGATCGACTTTGGTACAACCAGCCTGTCAGGTTTTTTTTTTTTCCTCTGATCACTGCTGGTAGCTATAGCTGCCAGCAGAGATCATTGTATTCTTCTGGTGGGTAAGGTTCCTGCAGTGCAGGATGAGAGAATCAAGCAATTTTCAGGCTGTGTTGATGAGAGAATCAAGCAATTTTCTTTCCTTTGACCACTGGTTGCATAATGTATGACCTGCCTAACAATCAGGGACTTATCCCTGCCCTGATCATTCAGCTGTCAGCCAGGGATTCCCGGCTGACAGATGAATATAAACAAAAAGGCCTGGACAGTTTAAAAAAAAAAAATAAATTAAATGCATGAGGATTCCCTTCCCAATACAATACCTTTGGGTCTAGTAGGAATTTTAAGGGGACCCAATGGCCCTAAAAAGAAAAAAAAAATTGGTATGAGGTCTCCCCCAAAAATTTTTACCAGTCCCTTAAGCGAGCATGCATGCATCCCAGGCCAGGGAAGGGGGCACGATCATGCAACCCCCCACCCCCCTTTCCTTCTGAACCATACCAGGCCACCATGCTCTCAACATGAGGGGGTCGTTCAGTGAATTAAGTCATTGGCCAGAAGTGGAAGTGTCCATAGCTGGTCAATGACATCACCGGATGACCCCGCCCCTTTGTTTATTTCCACAAACATGGAGAACTGGAGATTTAATTCAGTGCGGGGAGAGTGTTAGGATTGATCTACTCTTGGTGGGCATTTTTTTTTTTGTTATGTCGTGCAGGTCGATGGCTGTCATTCATAGTGATTAATGTGGACCTGCATCACTAGATGACATGGTTGAAGATGGATGTACATCTAGGTATATTTTAACATTTTTTTTTTAATAAAGGACTTGTCAAAAACTGTGTTTGTTTTTATTTTTACATTTTTTTGTGAAATACTCACTACCCCTTACTACATTTTTTACTGTTTTGTAAACATCCCTGCTTCTTAATTTAAATAAACCTTTCAGCTGTTTGACAGCTGAATGAGCAGTTCAGGGTTGATTCACTGTTTGTAAACAATGCCAGTGAGTGTCAGCTCCTTGTCAACCTACACAAAATGCTCAAAAAAATGCATTTACATGCATTTCACGTGTTTTTGGTGCATTTCTGTTGAAGTCTATGGGGCAAAAATGGTGTTGCAACAGCACCAAAGTAATACCAGTACCTTTTTCCAAAAATGTGTCACAGCTGCGCTGCATTGATGTGAATGGGCACTATTGAAAATAATGTGATTTCCACTGTTGTGCAATGCTGTGTGACAGAAGTCGCATCTGAAACCACACAAATGTGAACCAGGCCTTAAATGATAAGTTCACCTCTTTTAACAAAAAATAAATGTATATTTTTTACAGGTAAAAGAATGTGCATTTACCATTTATTGTTTTGGGAGCCTGGAAAAAATTGCACCAGCGATCAGCAGATCGCAGGTGCCATGTAGAACTCCTGCAGACCTGTCAGTGTATTTGTGTACTCATACCTCGTACGGGCCAGCAGATACACACTGACAGAAAGAATCAATGAACTACCACAGCGCTCAACAGTGCTGTTGATAGTTCATTAAGAACTACAAGCCGACAGCAACAAAAGCTGTCGGAATTTGTAGTTTTCCCATCCACAGAATACTGTGAATTAGTGATGCGGCAAGATGGCAGAGCCTTGCACGGTCACGGTTTTTTTTTAAATTGTGACAGCTAGCTGGGGGGAGAGGATCCCCTGCTAGCTGTCAATATGGGTGTCAATATGATGTCAATATGGCCAGTCCTTGTGTAACATGTAACAGGTTT